TGTGTGTGTGTGTGTGTGTGTGTATGCGTCCCTGCCAGGATGGCTGCAGCAGATGCAGTGTTCATGATGGTGTAAATTTGCGTTTGCGTGAGACAGACCTGATCTGGGGAACGTGTGATTGTAAATAACAGCTCTGATTGTTGCTGATTTTCTGCTGAGACTTTGCCATGTCTGGAAATTTCCAGCACAAATTACTTATTAGGCCAGAAGTCAGCGCTCATGCAGCGTGTCGCTCGCTGCTGCGATGAGGATCCGAGCACATTCTCATCACCACAAATTACCCGTACTGCTCCGCTCTGTAGGAAAATGTGCTTAAATTCCTACTTTGTTTTGAGGTAGTTGTGTCATGTGACGTTGGGTAATTTACTGAGTCTCCACACATGATTAAATTCAGTCAGTGGAAAACTTCCTCCAAATGACCTGAGAAAACATAGAGCACTCTTTCACACACAGTTAGTCGCAGTGCATAAAAACCAAGAGGTGAAAATAAGACATCATGGTTAGAAGCGTTTTTAAATTAAATTTACACACAGACAGCAATAAAACAAGTGAACATTAAAAAAGACGTTAACATGCAGCCTGGAGTCAGGTTCGAGGAGACAGAATTCAAATGAACATAAAACTCGTTCTGCAGTAATTTCATACGTGACTTAAACGAGGGACCCAGTTTCTGTCATTTTCTCATCTATGCTACAAAGAATTCTGCCTTTACGTACGAAGAGATTTGTCCGTTAATGCGTTCTTTTATGTTGGGATGATTGTGAAGCATCCACTAGAGGGCAGTGCGGGGTAGAAACATGGCGACGGGGAAGGAGGTTGTGATTAAGCAGCTCTTACGGAAGAGTTGTAAACAGCGATGGTCCAACTCACCTCACTATAATTTCCCTATGATCATCTTGTGTGAACTATTGCAAAATGAGCATAAACACGGTACAGAGATCGAGGACGAGATGCACTCAAAGTTATTCTTATTATAAATAATAACTCTAATAAATTACATAAACGATCCTCCTAGTGCTGAGCATTTGGCTGTTTATTAAAGTCGTGCACATTTGTGTTCTTACTACAGAGTCGGACTGTTGTCGTCAGCTCATCCAACATCAACAGGAGAAGAGGCAGCGAGGTGTGTTTGCTCCACTCCAGTAAAGTAAGTAAGTAATGATGTCACGGTTTTTTAAATGGTTTTATGCCTGTTTGTTAGTTGCTCTGCTGTCAGGAGGATTGGCGAAGCTCGGTGGAAAGGTCGAGGGCCCTTCTAGTGAAGTGCATCAACACATTGAGTGAAAAGATGCAGATCTGGCTCGTGTCGCACAGTGAATGTGTAAGAAATGAATGTACGTGAATGGGCAGCTGCGTATCTGACATGCAAACACATCGTTCATAGAGGAGAGAGGAGAACACGGGGTGGAAACTTTCTTTTTGGTCATGACCCAACCTGGTTTGGTATTTTCGTGTAGCACAGTTGGTCACACCTCGTGGTTCAGATTAAAAGTTTGGTTACACTGGTTTTTCCACTGAGGGTTTGACGTTTTGAAATCCAGCGACGAGGCGCCACATGCACAGTCAGGCATCGTGCCACAACAGCTACAGCAGCTACACAGTCGTGGATGTCAAAGGTTGTGTGTCTGTGTGTGTGTGTGTGTGTGTCTTCACTTCACACCCCACTGGCTGCCAGCCTGTCCTGTCTGTCAGCAGTTGGAAATAAGTACGTTACCTGCAGTCACACAGGTGTGCCACAGGGCAACCCCCTCAAACATGTCTCCTCTTCTTTAAATCCTCAGGGAAGTTACAAATCCTCCAGGTGCCTCGACGCCTTTTGTGAGCAAATATTTAAGTCTCTACATTTATTAATAAAACCTGAAACAACTTCACCAATTATCTTATACACGATTCTAACTTGTTGTTTTTCTTTGCTGGAGTTCAGTTGATTGAGGTAAATTACTCAGTGATCGACTCTTTTGATGTTTTGTCTGGAATGAAAGCGATGAAGCTAAAAGACGCAAACTTTTCGCCCTGGAGCATTGAAGCGTATCATCAGTCCCTCCCCCGTCACCCTCAGATCTGTCAGATCCCAGCCTGCCATCACTTGTTTATATTTAAATGGCATCTCGCCTGGAGCTGAGATACTGACAGAGGTCACAGACACACAGTTGCTCTATTCTTTTCAGTAAAAGCAAAGGATCAGTTGGGTTTTAACGTGGGTGAATAAACTTTATTTCTTACTGCACACAGCTGTCATTCCATGCCGATTCCAGTGCATTTAAAAATATAACAATTTACAATTCAACGTAGTTCGACATCTGCGCTGCGATGATGCTTTATTTACAGCTAGTGGCAGTAAAGAGGAATAAAATGAACCAAAAAAGAGACACGTTGCTAATATGTAGAACCTGACCAAATTATAGGTTGCCTGATAACATGCTTTTAAACTGCAGAGAAGATGTTTTTATGAATCTTTATATCTGTATCAGAATTTTCTTTCTGCCTAATATATCGGTCGGGCTCTGCTAATTATGTCACTAATAACATTTCTTCCATTCTGGACAGTCCACATGAAGAATAAGTAGTAATGGAAGTAAAACACTATAAAGACTAAACCATCTTTTTTTATCTAGCGGCCATTCAGACTTGTTCGACACAGTTGTGCAGTAAACTTGAAGTACCGAGCTGATGTCAGCCAGCAAGTGCCAGAGGTGTGGCCCCGAAACAGTTATCGGTGATATAATATAACGTATATAATGTTCGATAAAGCAATAGGAGAAACGTTCTGGTGATGTCCCGGCTTCACACTGAAATATTTCAGCTTCATAAAAAAACTCTAAACCCGTATTTAGATTGTAGATGGTTGTATTTACAGTGTAAATATATATGTATACAGAGAGACAGATCTACACACACCTCAAATATCTAAATTATATCTATAAAGTTCTAAAATAGAGTTCGGATGATTAACTGGCGTTTAACAATGTCAGAGACTTGTCACTGCAGTTCTGTTCTGGAACAACAGCAGTGGGAAGCTAACATCAGTCTTACCACAGAAACCTCAATCGAAACACAGATGATGTCATAAACAGGCAGGTTCTGAGGATGGGCCTGTTTCCCCTGAGAGCAGCCGCCGTGGCGGCAGCACACCTGGGTGCCACTACATTTTCATCATAGCAGCAACGGGCATATCTGGCGTCTCTGCCATACCTGAGTGAGACTCCAACAACACCCAGGTGTCACAGTGACCAAGCCACATGGAGCGAGGTGGGCGAGGTCGCTGACGAATGATTGATTCGGTTCTTTCATAACATTCATCTCTGCCAAGGAGGTCAGGTTTTCATTGCTGCTCGTCTCTCTGCAGGATTCTGCAAAAATTCTTGAAGCTTGGTGGAAGGGGCGGGTATGAGCGGGTGGATCCAGCATCTTTCTTGAATCACTTTCCCAGGGAATCATTCAAAGATCATGATTGGAGTTTGTGTAATTTGGTGCATCCTGAGAGATTTGAAGGGGACTGTCGGGCCTCGTGCTCCGAGTGTCGCTCTACTTTGAAATGACAATCTCCCAACAGCTTTTATAATTACTGGGAGGAACCAGGTTAAGCAGGGGTAATTAACTACTCTGCAGCTCTTCCAAGTTGACAACATGCTCTCTCTACTCTTGCTACTTGAGCAAGGACAAATAAAGACATCTTGTTTTTTTTAAAATCCAGACCTCACTTTGTCCGTGAGGCAAACACTGGATCCACAACTTCCACATGTCAGCTGCAAGAACTTAGTGTGAAACTATTTCTGCCTCAGACAAAGAGATTGTCTCTTCATAAATATCTAAGTTACCAGCTATTCCTCATAATGCAACCAAGGGAGAGACACAGAGGTTTGTCAGACCTGGTGTTAACATCTGTCCTGACAGATCTGATCTCATGAAGATGTGTACATGTGTTCACACCTGGTTTTAAATTTCAGTTTCCTGAACATGTTTTCACTTGTGATTTGATATCACTTCTCTTCTCTACATCCAAATAATCATGACTGTCATTTGTGCTCGTTAAGACCAAAATAAACAGTGTTTGCAGATGTGAGCGATGACGGTGTGATGGAGAGAGGTAGAGAGCGAGCGGAGTCGGCAGCTTCGAAGACAGATTTGACCAATTTGAGAAAAATATCGATCATTGTATGTTGCTCAGTGTTAATAGTGACACTGAGAGCCTTAAAAATACATTTGATTCATTGTGAAACTGGAGCGGGTGAGGACATTAGTTGGGTTGGTGCTCCTTTATATGCAGCTCAAGACGGATTCGTACACAGCGAGAAGAACGTGGCCACACGGTCCGATCTCAGGACGTATTTGGGTACATTCCGATCTAAATTAAGCGCTGACCACTTGTGATTGGATCACTCAGGACGGACGTCTGGGTCTAACAGGGTCAAAGTTGTGTTGAGGGTTAGAGTGGGGACAGACAGGTGGAAAAGAAGAAGAAAAAAACCCACAGTATATAAGAAACAGACGTTAATCACGTCAGGTCAGGATCCAGCAGCCAATGAAAACTCGAGGAGGGAGGTTCACTGAAGTTCAGTTACAAATGACAGGAGGAGATGAGCCGTCACACACTGCGTTATTAATTTGTTCCAGAGGTGCCTGGTCATGCTCCCTCTGTGTGTGTGTGTGTGTGTGTGTGCACAGTTGTGTTTTATGCATCTTGTCAAAATGAGTGACAACATTAAGAATAAGGTGAAATGAAGAAGAGGTTGAACTTCCTTTGAGAGTTCAGCGTCAGGAGAGAACAGGATGGTTGTGTTTGTAATTGAGCTTTTACACTAATAGATTGTGTGTGTTTGTTTTTTCTCTCACCTAGTCTATTGTGTTGAGTGTGACACATCCATGTGCTGCTGCTGTCAGTCTGGCGCTGTTTTTGGCTGCGTCTGTCTCGCTGCAGGTGTGCAGTTGGATCACAGTTATTTAAGAAGAAGACGTCTACAAGCCCTTGACACCAGTGTTTGCAAATAGAGCTCAGCAGCACGGCTCCAGATTCATTTTCTAAATAGAGGTTTCGATTATCAGCCACAATATTTTTACCATCCGAGGTAACTTAACACTCGCACACATTCTCCTGTAGAAGCCACAAATCTGTATGATACCAACTGTGTTTTAAGAAAACGTGTTTTAATTCAAGTCCCACACTACCCACAATCCTGAGGTGGAGTAGTGATGTCTCTAATGGGTGGAGCTCGCCTTTAGCAACCACGAAAATCATGTTCACAATGACCGCATTGTTCAGCGTATCATTAAGACAAGTCCGCAAATCTGCAAATACGTGCCTAGATCTGTTCCTCCATAAATCTACAAATGTATTCACAGATAATAGCCAATCAATCAATCACTCAAATTTGATTTGTATAGCCTATATTCACAAATCACAATTTGTCTCATAGGGCTTAACAGGGTGAGGCTGACGAGGCAAAGTGTTATAATCCAAGAGCTGGAAATACAGACTAGTCAGCAGTTGCAGCTCAGATGCTTGGTTACTTATCGAACAAATAAACCAAATCTGCCTCTGAGACTTAATATTTTATAATAATTTTATTGTTTTTTTTCTCCTCACACACTTGCTCGAGCATGTGCAAACTTTTCCGAGCAGCTCCCGCTCAGCACGAACAGCATGTAGACTTTATCTACTTACACAATAGCTTCTGCAGCTAAAGACTTTTAGACAGATTGAAGTCGTTAAACTGATTTTACTGCTGAGCCTTTTCAGACGTGAGGTAACAGGATATTCCACTGCGGGGAGTTTCAGGGGTGTGGGAGTGAAGGTAAAGTTCGTACCACTAACTCATGGACCCCTTTTTTCTCCACGAAAATGACGCAATGTCCCTGTAGACCGACTAAAATTCATGATCCGTGCTCTGCCTCTTTGTACCTTCATTCCTGACTTTCCTGTCCTCCTGTCTCCCACACACCCCCTCCTCTTCCATGCACTTTTACAGACCACGAGTTTGTACAATTGTAGTCGGGTTATAAGTCATACTTGTAACCTTACAACAGCTGTAACCGCTCACTCTGCTGCTAGCGACCATGTGGTTACTGCTTTTACAGTATTTCCAGTTTCCCTTGGCGATTTCTTTAATGTCCTTCATGCTTCCTACTTCCACTGGGTGTAAATAAATAAATAAAACTTCCGTCTTCCGTCCTGGTAAGACACTCAGAGCTCATCCTCGACAGAAACGGAGATGAAAAACAACACAAAGAAATGACCGAAAGGAACATTACACATTGTGCTAATGCAGATCAGCCATTGATTTGACATTTTTGACATTGACTGAGATGCACCAGACAATGTAGGAGAGAAGAGGAGGAACTTTAAACTCAGAAGAGAGACTCCAGTCGACTTGAGCAGGACATGACGTATAAATCCTGCTGCGGAGATCATGTGTTTTTGTTTACTTTACCAAAAGCTTTTGAATCTCGACGTCTTTCAGAAGACAATAAACAAAATGCATTTTGGGTAAGGTGGCTACTACAATCCTGCAGCTGTTACCTTAGCGAGGACAGTGTTGGTATGAATTATATAAAAAATGACCAAAACGATGAAAAATCAGATCCGAGTTGTAATGAACTTGATTAATAGCCACTGTTTGTTGTGCTTGACCAGAATATCTCAGAACTTGATCTCTCTGCTGCAGCTTGAGAGAATGTCAGCGCTGTCGTATCTGGCTTCTGTAACACACTTTTTAAGTTCAAGTTTTGTTTAGAGCAGATTTTTAGATATATCGTCAGCTACCAGCTTTTAAGACACAACATCTCTCTCTCTTTTCTTCGTCTCCCTCTCTGTTTTCTGCTTTTCTCCATCTCTCTACCTTTCTCTTATCAGGGGGGAGGACAAAGGTTTATGTGGGCTGTTCATTCTGCCTCACAGTGAGGGATGGCTGCAGTGTATTGTGGGTAACAGAATCCAGCTGTGTTGTAGGCTGTGCTTGTGTGTCTGCTGGTGTGAACATGTGCAGGAATGTGTGTGTGTGTGTGCAGTATGTGTTCATGCCGGTGCACTGCAGGTCTCACATGCACGTTGACCTGTTTCATGTCATTTTGATGGAGGAGCTTCTTTTTCATCACGTGTCCTTATCTGCACTCGTACAAATCGCTGAGGATTTACTGAGTGCCGCAAAGTCTTAACAGCAGAAAACTCACCGTCATGACATTGTTGACATCTAATTATGAATTTGTGACGTCGGGGAGAGAACATTTCTGCAGGTTTTGGGATTACAGTGTAACGCTCGCAGGGTAAAACGACTGTGCATGTTTTGACATCCTAGGTTGATGTTAATATCGCAGTTGGCAGATTCTTGGCTGTATGACACGAGCACAGAGTCTCTATCAAACAGCAGGCCCAACAGGCCAAGACTATAAAATAGACTCAGATTAGGCTGGAAACATTTTGTTTTTCACTCCTTCTCTTTCCCCCCACTGATCCTGTCATTCCTTTGAAAAGCTGAGACAGTTTCAAAAATAGGAGGATTTATATGTGAAGCAGCTGCAATCGAAGTTAAGAATAGGTCGGCTTTTCTGCAAATTATCTGCTCGGAATATATATATATACTGCGGAAACTCTAGTTTACGATACTTGTGTTCTGCCAATTCCTTATTTAATGCCCGACCAAAGAGATTTAGACCTTTTACATGGTTGAACTGAACTTCAAGCAGTCAGTCAAACAAAATCTACAAACAGTGCGACTGCTTCTACGACAGATAAGTGATGGATGGATGGAAAACTTTAAAGTCCTGGTTGAAAATTACGAACTGACTCCTAAAAAGTTGATAGTGATAAACTTAACTATAAATGAAAGGAGATTATGTTTTTTCTTTTGAACATTAGACCATGTAAACCTTTCAAGCTTGAAATGTACTTCAAGAAAGAGATACAGAATACAGCTTTTGAAAAAGACATAAAGAGCCAATGCAAAGAGGCATAAGTGTAAATTGAGGTAAAGGGGAACAAACTGTACTGTAAAATGTTGCCACAGTCTTTATTGGAGACAAACATGGAAGTGAAATCTCTGTTTAACCGCAAAAGAGAAACTGTCTTGTGTCTCACCCCCTACCTACGACAAGGTCAGAGGTCAACCACCTACAAAGCAGCGGCTCTCAAGTGTGAAGGGATTCAGTTTCTAAAACAGGGAGACTTCAGCAGGGCGGATACTCGCCGTCATGGAGGTTTGAATTCTTACAGTCTGTGGTCGAAGATTTCTCGACTTCATGAATTGAACTTGGCTGGTTGACGGATGGTTTACTCTACATGTTCTAACACATGGGCAGATACACACTGTTTACTTGGGATTTTAAATGGCAGACTCGTTTTACAAAAGGAAGAGATATATCCTAGGGATAAAGCCTGTTAACCTTTTTCATATACAGACTTAAAGCCTCCATTATGCTTGAGTGCTTTCTTTTTTCTTTCCTTCATTCATATCTCATTCAGTCATTTCCTCTTGAGCTTACTGTTCTGTGAGCGACTGCACACAAAGACAGATCCAGACTCCCGAGCTGAGCGCGTCTTTAAAGCAGCGACGTGTACCTCGAACAAAAGCTGTCACACGCCTCGTCATCGCAGAGATACCTGGTGTGAGTCGATGTCTCAGTGAGAACAATGCTGATGATAGCAGCTCTTTTATTTCTGCGGCTGGTGTGACAGAGTGGTTAGGTGACTTTGGACGTTTCTTTATTTGAGCTGTCTCCACTCATCTCTGCACACCGGGTAAAAATAACACGGTCACGCAGCAACGTTTCAGTGGCTGGGTCGTATTTTATTTCACAGCACATTTGCACAGTGGTCATTTTCGCCTGAAGTCACGCTAAGGGATAATGGAAAGTTAAAGTGTATTTGTATTTCAGTTTCAAGGTTATACAACATATTTGATAGCTCGTTAGCTACAATAAGCTACAGCTAACATTAGCACTCAACCACTTCGTCGCTGTGCAGTTTGATTCAATTTTAAATGTATTCATCCATTTATTCATTATTTAAATATATATTAGATATTATACTCACAGATGTCACACTTTTCATCGTGTTTCATTCAAATGAGTTTTCTTGGATACTAGATGTTAAAAACTACTGCAACAAAAAAAACTACAAAAAGTGAAGCACTGATTTCAGGTACAAGCGAAAATATTTGGTACAGTGCTATGTGGCTTTTTAGAGAAGACGTTTAGGAGTTTACGAAGATCAGTGTTCGACATCACAATTTGACTTTTGTATTTTCTCCACATTTTCATGTTTTGGCCCCAAGACATTGTACCGACAAGACTCCAACTTAAACTAAACTGTAATTGGAAACCGATTCATAAAACTTGTCACAGAGCAGACAACGCTCTGTGGTTTACAACAAGACACAGCAAATCGAGAGAAGTTTATTCTACTCAGTTTTTTTCCCCACTTAATTTTTTACCCTGTTGCGTATTTATCAGCATGTTGCAGTGACTTTTATATCAAACAGAAAAGCATAAGACACATGTGGAGAACTGGTATTCACAGACGAGCCAATTACAGCGTCCAGCCACATTGTTTAGTCATGTGAGTCGCAGGTTGGAGGTTTGATCTTTTTCTGAAGTGCTGCTGAAGTCCTGAAACGAGACTGTCAGATTTGGCAGCTTCTGGTTTATATTAGCTGCCCAGGAAATCCCAGTTATGGTTTTTAAAGCACACAATAAAACACAAAATATCTTGATTACCACTCAAATATCAGTGCTTTCTGTAAAAAGTCACTTTAACCGTCCTCTCTCTTCCCTCGCTGTCATCTATTTTCTGTTTGTGCTCAGTTGTGACAGAATTTGATGGAATATTGCAAATCCTCACCACCCTGACAAACCCTGACCTTACTCACTGCATGAATGGAGGCATGGGGCCGGAGGTGCGCTCCTGACTTCATTAGCACATCCTGGGTTTTTCCTTCACTTCCACGTCAGGAGTCTTGGAAAGGGCAGGAGTGCAAGAGTTTACTAATGCAAACCAGGTCAGAGGGTGAGGAAATTGGGAGTGATGAAAGCAGGAAGAAGAAGGGGTGACATAGAGATATGCACTCAAATGTATTAGATGTTGTCATACAGAAACTGACAACAGAAAAAAGGATGTAGCCCACTCCATGTAAGAGTGTGGTTACCCAATCCAGGGCAGCCAGGTTCAGAAAGTCTTTTTGAAATGATATTCAGATTCAAGTTGGTTACGTTGGCTGGGCAGATGTCTTACTCTGCACATGTCTGTGATCGGTGAAAACAAACAATCCCCATGCATGTCAGGGACAAGGTAACATTTACTACATCAGGCTCAAGTCGGGATAATACACCAAAAAGAAACTGTGCTAGGGACGTTTTTGCTGTTTGGCCATTTAGAACCTTAACCTGTGTTACAGAATAGACCAGTGTAAAGTTGAAATGTGTATATACATACATCTTTAGAGAAAATGCAGTTTACATTTGCTGCACTACCACAAAACAGCACCTCCTGCCCCTCATTTCCCAACAAGTCTGTGTGTGGTGCCTATTCTTTTGGTAACACGATAAGGCAAATATGTCAAACATATGATTGAATGTTCGGGTGTGTCTCTGTGTGCCTTCTCAATCACAGCATATTTGCTCGGGGTATGTTTGTATGTTGTAGCCGTGTGGCTGCGGCTGTCCAACTGATCTGCAGCAGACTGGGTTTCACGGACTAAGGACTGTGTCATAAACACAGGGACCGGGCTGAATATGTTTCTCACTTAACCCAGGAATGGTCACCCTGGGTGGGCTGTGTTAACTCAAGGTCTTGGTCTGTGGGGCCTGATCCCTGGGGTATCTGCTCATTAAGGATATAAAACATTAAATTCACTTTGATGGAGCAGTTGGTGTTTGTATATACTGTCTGCCTGTGTGAGTGTGGAAGCTAGGGTTTGTTGATTGTGCTTGTGATTGCATTGTTTTATGACCATTTATGATTTAGACTTCAGGAATTACATCTTAACTTTTATATATTCATCAGTAACAATGTCTTTAACCGGCTACCTATGAACACCCTATTGTGTTTGTTTCATATTGTACTTAGTATGTGGCTGGTCACTAACACCAACCGTTCTCTTTCTTGTGTCTTCTAGAGTTTCGGGCCAGCCACCACGATGTTACCTTACTTCCTGCTCTTGTTCCTCTCATCTGGGCAGGTGTTATCCTCTGAGTGCCCAGCAGACTGTAACTGCCCACTCCAGGACTCTATATTCTGCATTCAACGACGGTCCAGCTCTGTGCCCCGTGTCCCCACCAGCACCCACGAACTATACATCTTCCAGAATGGCATCAACACTTTGTCCCAAGATGACTTCAGAGGCTTGGTGGAGTTGGAGATGCTCGACCTGAGTCAGAATGTGCTGGTAGAGATTCCAGATGGCGTATTTGAGATGCTGTCAAAGCTGAAGAACTTGGATCTGTCCACGAATGACATCACCCACATTTCCAAAGGGAGTTTTTCTGGGTTGGTCCAGCTTGAGAGGCTTTATCTCCATGCAAACCGCATTCAGAGTATCCATTTGGAAGCTTTTGATGGTTTAGATATGCTGCTGGAACTCAAGCTCCAAGGTAACCAGCTCACATCTCTTCCAGCTCTTCACTTTCCCAAACTTCTGCTTCTAGACCTCAGCAACAACAACATCCCAAGCCTGGGACCCTCAGACCTCCAGACTCCTCACCTGGAAGCCCTTAAGCTGGCCTCTCTGGGGCTTACCTCTGTGGATGAGGATCTAATAACTTCCCTGGGGAACCTCCATGAGCTCGACATCTCCTTTAACCAGTTAACTGAGGTGCCACAGGCCTTAAAGCAAGACTCCCTCAAGGGGCTGATCAGGCTCAACCTGGCAGCCAACCTATTTGGAGAGCTCAGGATGGAGGACTTCCAGAAACTGACAGGACTTCAAGAACTAGATCTAAGTGGACTTAATCTACAGGGTTTTCCACAGAGTTTCTTCCAAATATTCCCTAGGTTGATGCGCCTTACAGCAGCTGAGAACCCATTCAACTGCTTGTGTCCATTAGCCTGGTTCCCTGTGTGGCTAACTGAGAAGGGTATGAGTCTTGGTAGGCCTGAGGAAACTAGATGCCACTTCCCTCTAGTTAATGCTGGAAAGATGATTTCAGCACTTGAGCACAAAGATTTTGGATGTCCACCTACCACAACAGTGCTGATTGGTTCACCCATTGGAAGTACTCCTGTTCCCCAGATGCTCACCACACCCCCTGAAGCCACCCGTACCAATGCTATTCCTCCTCCCCCACCTCCCAGTGAGGAAACAGTGTCCTCAAAAACAGTCAGCTATCCCCTTGCACCAGAACTTCCAATCTCCCCTAGTTCCACCAGTGGGGAATATGAGCAGCACATCTGCCCACCAAACATCTGCCTTAATGGGGGCACCTGTAATTTCGATCCATCGGGTAGACTCAGCTGTCTGTGTCCCTCAGGAACCTCTGGTCTCTATTGTGAAAATGTGGATGAAGTTCCTGAGCCACCAAAACCTGTAGCAACAGAGGTTTCAGTAGTTGCCCCTGTGATGCCTGCTGAACTTGATGCCATCAGCTCACGCCAGGTGACCTCCACATCTATCCTTCTTGACCTGCATCGCTTCATTGAGACACGACCACACATTCGTGGTATAAGGTTGACCTACCGTAACCTCTCAGGACCTGACCGACGCCCCATTATCCTGAGTGTACCAGCATCCTACCCCGAGTACACTTTGCGTGGTTTGAGACCCAACTGCACCTACTCAGTATGTGCCAGTCCCTTGGGTGAGAAAGTCATCTCTAGGTCAAACAGCTCTGTAGAAACAGGGTCATGTACAGAAGCTCGGACCGAAGGGGTTCCACTGACATCCTTAGAGCCCAGGGTGGAGACACAGAGCCAGGTAACATATACTCTGATCCCTGCCCTGGCTGCCTTGGCATTGGTACTGGGGTTGGCTGTGTTGGCTGGGATGATCATCTGCCTGCGGAAGAGGAGGCAGTCCAAGGCAGGAATGGAGCTGGAGTTGGGCCCAGCTGATCCAGATCCCATGGAACTGGAAGGGATCAAGGCCTGCCTGGAGAATGGTGGAAATGGTACACTTCATCAGAAGCAGCCTGAGATTGAGCGCTGTCACACTCCTCAGCCACCTCCATCCTTGCAACAAAATGGGGGCTTAGACTATGAGGTACCCTTGATGCAAGGACATTGCCCATCAAACAACAATCTAGCATCACTAAAGCCATCGTATTTCTAAGATGCACTATTTCCAAGAACATTTGGAAAGATTTTAGAGTGAGTGGGCTTACCCATCAGGACTTTTGACATCCTGCTTTGGCTCATTTAGTGGTTAAAGTCTAATTTCATTCTAATTTCACACAATTTGAAAAGTGGCACTTACTTATTTGGACTTGTCGAAATGATAACACTGCAGAATGAATCCTCTATTTTCAAGGTACTTAATGTTGAAGATAGAAAGCATATTGGAAATGTCCTAAACCACTGTTTCAAAGCTGAGCTTGATGGATGTGAGACTTAACTGAGTGATTTAACTAAGTGCAATCGTCTTAGTAGAGGAGTGAAAATGGAAGTGCCTTTTCGCATCGACACAACTGTATTCGACAGCTCATTTTTAAAATGTGTTCGTTTTTATAACAGAAACTATGTCAATGAGCTGTCATCCTGTTGCTGGATTAAGGAGAAAATGGAGGAAGGTGTGTCAGGCCACAGAAGATGAGGATATGATGATGGTTTAAATGAAAACAGGGACTTGCCTGGACCACAGGCCCTGGAGCAAAATGGGGTTTTGAACAACTCCACCTGCTCCATGGGAACTATAAAAAGAACTTGCACTGAAAAGACATATTCCCTTCCCTTTGTGGTCTCCCAGTGATGAACTGCCAAAAGACTGATGGTCACACGAGGAAATGCAATAAGAGAAAAAATAAAAAGCTGCCTAAACCCCACATTATTTTGTTGACATGATCTAATCTGAAAGTTTCTTCACATGTGGATTTTGATTTTTCAGTATCAACAGACAATGATTCTTTCTAGAAATCTCAGAAGCTTCTGACTTCGCAGGAGATACATTTGCTGTGAAAGATAAATGGACTGAATGAAAAGCCATTGTGAATTGACTTTGTTGATATTGTTTTGTGCCGTGACGAGAAGACTGTTTTGCGTAGCTGATGTCATGATATTCTTCTGCTTCTGTCCATGTGTTGTCTTTTCTAGTTTTTTTTTTTCTGTAATTGTTTATTCAGTATTTAGGTTACATGTTGCTAAAAATGTCCTTAGCCCCTTCTAGTGACTGTAGAAGTGAATACTAATTTAAGTTTATGAGACCACAATCTCTGAGCCCATCGGCTTTCACATGACGACGAATTAGCCTCTGCGGGAAATGGCCAATATTTTGGGGCTTCCAGTGTAGACAGCTGATATCCGAGTTGAAAATCCCTTCGCTGTTCACAATTTACAGTCCGATAGTTGCTTTTATCATTGAAGGTTTCGCCACACAAAACACAAACAGTGATACTTTCTCGACGTGTTTAAAGTCTGGACGGTATGTTGGCTATTCTTGGACTGTCTGCAACCAGAGCCTGCTCAAACGTGATTGGTCCAAACAGAATCTGTTTATAGACATTAACGAGACCAGCAACAAAAACAACCGGCAGTAATCAACAATGAGGAAGTTTTTAAATGACAGAATTAAAACTTGGCCACAGAGCCTTTTCGCCAAAATACAGTATATCTGATGAACTCGCCGTATGAATCCAACCGTCAAGTGTCAGACACTTTATTTTCTCTGCCAGCGCTTCATAAAGACACGGTTAAGCCTCAGACTGTTTGTGACTTCCAAAACTGTGTTCAAAGGCCTTTTGCCACAGAGCCCAAACCCATAAAGCTGCACACATGTGCCGAGAAAACAAAGCAAGTTCAAAGAGTTTCAAGTCAATTTGAAGTGTCAGTAACTTTTAGACGCTAGTTGTTTCCTCTCTGTGTTGTTGACAGTATCGTTTTGTGAGACATAGTCTAAACAGTTCCATCCATCCATTCATCCATCCATTATCTATTCCGCTCATCCTTTGGAGGATCTTTGGGTGATGGGGCCAATCCCAGCTGACAGCGAGTAACAGGCGGGTACATCCTGGACAGGTCGTCACCAAACTGACAAATAAAGCAATTAATCATCGTTATGTTCACAGCTCCAGGCAAGTTAGAGTTGCCAGTTAACCTAACCTGCTTGTCTTTGGACCGTGGGAGGAAGCTGGAGTGCCTGGATTTATTGCTTGCAGGTGTGAGAACATGCAAACGACAGAGTTGGAACGAGGCGCCAGCGCTAACCACAGCGCCACCGTACCACCCATTCACAGTATTCCCATGTAGCTTTGTTTTTTTCCGTCTTACACGCTCCCTCTCGCTGCTGTTCTACACTTTAACCATCCTGTGTTTTTGCCTAACAACGATCATTGGCGTGTGTTTGGAGACTATTTTTCTTGTTTACTGCTTAACCAGACTGTGAAATGCACCATTTGGAGAAATTTATTGTCGTCTGAGTCTCGGAAAGTCACAAACTTTAAGTGCTTTTTTTCCCCCTTCTCCTTAGAAAAGATTATTGAATCACAAGCAGGTTAACAGAGACGTGCCTTAGCAGCACTCTGAGCCTTACCGAGATCTCGTAGAGTCGTATTACATACTGATGTGTATTTCAGGAACAAAAGGGCCTTTATTTTTGCCTCACAAGACATTGCATTATATTACATTACAAACTAAAAATGAAGAAACATGAAATGTAATCAATTTAGCCAGTTTTTGAATAAAAGAGCTTTCTCTGTTCTTGGTCGTCTAAACAGGCAAAAGCTAAGATGACTGTGTGTTTTCAGTTGGATTGTTCAGGTGTGTGTGTCTGTGTGTGTCTGTGTGTGTGTGTGTGTGTGTGTTTAGTTCCACATCTACAGTAAGTTGTCAACTTCATAATGGAGCTCATGAACTACACTGTCCAAAATCAACTTACCATCCTCCAGCTCCTCTTCTCTCTTCACTCTGTCAATATTCCAGTGCAAACACAGACGCTCATATACAATATCTGCTTTCCCCCCCGATATATCAACTGGAAGTCTCTCTGGCTTTGCACAGTGAGAGGAGACAGGAAATGTTTGAAATACTTTCAACATGCTTGTTACGGTATCTTTCCTGTTTATTTAGGAGAAGCTTTTCTTTCTTATCGTTTCATGTTCGTCAGGATCTTTACATGTTTGTCTTAAAAACAATGCTGAGAAAAAAAGAGCAGTAATAAAATGCCTTAATGACAATACGCCTGTGGTTTTGTGTTTTTTTTCATGAATGGCACTTTTTTAATAGAGCTGTAACGTACATGTTAACGGGCTCAGTAGCGAGGGGTTTTGCAGTTTTACTCCTTTTTGTGGATTTGAGGAATCTGGGCCTGTTGCACAGGGTTTCTGCTGTTTGCAAGTTAAGTTTAAGACTTTTTAATAAATGAAATAAACAGATATGAAGGAATAGTTGCAGAGCAGGGAATAGCACCATCCCTCAAAGGACAGCTTATAGTTTTATTACAGCGTGTCAATATCTGTATTGTTGAGAGAGAACTTACATATATGTATGCCACCAAAACATTCCTCCCTCAAAATAAATAAATAAAGTGAGAGTTTGACGTGAGATGGTGGATCACACTAGATATGAATAAACAGCTGGATGGAGTCTGATAATAATGAAAATAAACATTTGTACTTTACAACAAACAATATGAAAATCGCAAACATATCACATGGTAAAAGCTCAAATATCTGAATTAACTGCACCTCTAAATGTGACATTAGCATAATTAAGAGCCACTAAAACCTTTTAAAGATTATTATGAGTATATCATATTTTAATGTATTTAAACATTTCTAAGGCCTTAAATTCAGATAGTGGAATTTCAGCCTTGAGATGGAAACCCTGGTTGTAGTTTATGAGTCTGTTTCGAATGTACAGGGTGTTGCAATAGAGGAATGTTAAATATAACAACTGAGAAAAAGATTTCCATTCCCAACAGAAGATTCATCACACACACACACGCACACGCACACACACACACACAA